CAAAGTAGAAGGATATGCATTCTGGACAAAATGAAGACAGAAGGACCTCTCAACCTAGAAACAATGTCTGCTTCATCTATTTTCCCAATGACCATGTGAAAAACAAATCTTTTTTATTTTATATTAACACACCTCTGCGATATTCCTCACTCCAGTAGCAGAAAATGGAACTATTGTCTAGGTGACATCAAATTCCTATGAATGATCCAGATCCAATAGTTTGTCCCAAACAGAACAAAACCATAAAGCCCCTGGTCCAGATAGAGACCTAGAGACAAAATATCAGGAGATTCTTATACATATGAATGCTCCATGGGAATGTCAGGGAGTAGAGTAGAAGAGTATCCAATATCTAGTTTCTTTAATTATTGTGTGATCCTTTGGGTCGGCCCATGAAAAGCATCTGATATTACCAGCTTATACAAATTTACAACAGTACACTGGAGAAGGAACGAATGTGGGGCTTTCATTTCAATCTCTGTTTACCTGCTGTCCCTGGAATTTACAGTCACGGTTTGGAAAACACTGCAAGGACAGCTAATGCCTATAAACATACCTGTGGTCATGCTGTCAATATACAAAATAATTTTTGATGCAAAATAATAAAATGCTTCAACTGCAAATCTGCCACGGACTCTGGGGTTCCCTAGATTGACCAACATTCAGCTACATTCAACTAATTGAAAATAAAATTGGTTTTACACTGGTTGATTCTACCCGAAGGAAAAAGTTAATGAGGTAACACTGGAAATTTCTTCAGGATTCCAATGAAAATCAGGACAAGAGAAATCATTCCAGTTATAAAGTACACAGAAGCCAATTTATTATATTCCAAAAATTAATAATATTCAAAACTTTAGAATCCAGCATAAAAATTCAATGGTGAGCTTCCTGAATGTAAAGCAAATATTTGCCAAATTCTGATGTTAGTTACATCATTAGTAAAATTCCAAAGTACTGAACAGAAGCTACAGGGGCCTGAAGGGCTGATGTGGAGAAAGAAGTTTAGATGCCATTGTTATAACACAGAAAGGAAAATAGTTGGGGCTATAGAAACATCAATGATAAGAGGGAATCACTGATTGGCTGCCTCTTGAATGACCCACAACTGTAATTGAGTCACCAATCAGGACCTGTGCCTTGAGCACGAATTGCACTCTGGCCTCCTGGTTCATATATCCAAGCTAAACCACTGAGGCAAGCCAGCCAGTGATTTCTCAAATTTTCTACAGTGTAAGAATTTCCTGCACTATAAAAGTCTCTGATATCCAGTAAATTTTGACCTCTTGGTGCAAGCCACGTCCCGTGTGGTTTCAGAGTTCATGATCTGGAGAAGGGCCACTCGAAAATGACAGAGATGAGACAAGAAGTAATAATTTGGAAATATTGGGAGCCAGGCGGAAAGTCCAACACAAGGGGAAGGACTTAAACTGGTGACCAGGCCTTGCCAAACTTTTATTCAATTTTGGATACACATATATCCCTTGGTCAGGCAGGCAATTCCGGTAACAGACGGACTATCTTAAAGGTCAGTAAATATTAGTAAAGATTTACTCTGAGACTATTTGGTCAGGAAATAGCTTGAGCCCCCATTGTCTCGACTAAACAATCGGTGCATAACTCTGTCCCTTGCCAGGGCTCAAGGTTGAACCATGTTCCAGGCTCCTTGTTTACACTTTTCTAATAGTGAAGACAGTGGGTAGCTTCCAAAAGTACAGGATCTTGCACATGCTCTACATTTGAAAGGTTTCTTCTGCAGTATGAAGTCTCTCATGTGCAGTAATACATGCATGACTTTTAAGGCTTCACTACATTTTTCATATTCATAAGGCTTATTTGCAGTCAGAATTCTCTGACATTCAATAACTTCTCACTGCTGGTCAAGGGCTTTTGACACTCCTCCTATCTGTAATACTTCTCTCAAGTATAAACTCTGCTGTACAATAAGGCAGGAACACTCATTAAAGGCTTTGTTACATTTTCACATTTATAAGGCTCCTCTCCAGTATGACTTCTCTAATATGCAGTAAGGTTTGAGGAGCTGCCAATGGATGTGCCACATTCTCTTCATTCATGTGGCTTCTCTCCAGTATGAACTTTCTTATGCTTTGTAAGTTGTGAGGACCATCTAAAGGCTTTGCCACACTCTCTACATTTATAAGGCTTCTCTCCAGTATGGACTCTCTGATGTAGATTAAGGGAAGAGGAAGATGTAAAGGCTTTGCCACATTCTCTACATTTATAAGGCTTCTCTCCAGTATGAACTCTCTGATGTATATTAAGTCTTTTGGACTCATTGAAGGCTTTGCCACATTCTCTACATTTATAAGGCTTCTCTCCAGTATGAACTCTCTGATGATAAGTAAGGTGTGAGGACCGGATAAAGGCTTTGCCACATTCTCTACATTTATAAGCCTTATCTCCAGTGTGAATTTTATGATGGCGAATAAGTTTTGAGGAATCACTGAAGGCTTTACCACATTCTCTACACTTATAAGGCTTCTCTCCAGTATGAACTCTCTGATGTATATTAAGGGAGTACGAACATCTAAAGGCTTTGCCACATTCTCTACATTTATAAGGCTTCTCTCCAGTATGAACTCTCTGATGACGATTAAGGCAGAAGGATTGGCTAAATACTTTGCCACATTCTCTACATTTATAAGGCTTCTCTCCAGTATGAACTCTCTGATAACTAAGGGATTCGGACTGCCTAAAGGCCTTGCCACATTCTCTATATTTATAAGGCTTCTCTCCAGTATGAACTCTGTGATGTTTATTAAGGGAGGAGGAAGTGCTAAAGGCTTTGCCACATTCACTACATTTATAAGGTTTCTCTCCAGTATGAACTCTGTGATGTTTATTCAGGGAGGAGGAATCACTAAATGCTTTGCCACATTCTCTACATCTGTATGGTTTCTCTCCAGTATGAACTTTCTGATGTTGAATCATGTTCGAGGCATGAAGGAATGCTTTACCACATTCTCTACATTTATAAGGTTTATCCTCAGTATGAACACCTTGATGTTTAGTAAGACCTGCATGGCTGGTAAAGGATTTGCCACATTCTCTACATTCATAAGGTTTCTCTCCAGTGTGAATTCTCTGATGAATAGTAACAGTTGAGGGCCGGCTAAAGGCTTTGTCACATTCTCTACATTGATATGGCTTCTCTCCAGTATGAACTCTCAGATGTCGGTTAAGGTTTGCAGACTCACTGAATGCTTTTCCACATTCTGTACATTTATAAGGCTTCTCTCCAGTATGTATTCTCTGGTGTCGATTAAGGTTTGTGGATTCACTGAATGCTTTGCCACATTTTGTACATTTATAAGGCTTCTCTCCAGTATGAACTTTCCGATGTCGAAACATGTTTGAGGTGTGGAGGAATGCTTTACCACATTCTCTACATTTATAAAGCTTACCTTCAGTATGAACACTATGATGATTAGTAAGAACTGTATGGTTGTTAAAGGCTTTGACACATTCTCTATATTTATAAGGTTTCTCTCTAGTGTGAATTCCTTGATGAAGAATAAGGTTTGAGGGCTGACTAAAGGTTTTGCCACATTCTGAACATTTATAAGACTTTTCTTGAATATTATTTGTACGATGTTGGGTATGTCTTGAGGACTGACTAAAGTCTTTTCCATTTTCCCTGAGTTTGCAAAATGTTGCTATAGTGTGAAATCTTGCCTTATGTATAATAAGAGATGAATGATATTTAAAGGCTTTGCCACATGATTTACATTTGCAAGGCTTTGCTCCAGTATGAATTGTCTGATTTAGAGTACAACCTGAAGGCCAAATAGACGTTTTAACAGAATCTTTACATGTATAAGGTTTTTCTCCACTATGAACTTTTTTGCGTCTATTTAGATTGAATATTTGACTGAAGACTCTCCCACATGGATTCCATTTGTAAGCCTCCTCCATAGCATGTATATTCTCTTGTTCACGGTATTTTGAAGACTGCTGAAAAGACTGGATACATTTACTTCCTTTGTGTGTCTTCTCCACAATAGGAATAACCTGACGTATATTGTGATTGGACATTTGGTCAAATACTTTTCCACTTTTACAACGGTCCTCTGCAAGCTCACTTGTCCGATGATTAAGATATGACTCTTGCTTAAAGTTGTTCCAATGTTCATTCCATTGATAACTGCTATCTCCATTATGTGTACTCTGGTGATAATGGGAGATAGAAAGACTTTTACTGACAGTTATGATTTTATGAAAAATGCTTGTTCCATAAGAACCATTCTGTGATACTCATTAAACCAAGATGGTTGTATAGGAAAAGCTTTCCTAATTTATTAAAATTATAGACAAAAAATAAATACAAAACATTAATTGTCAGAGGAAGAATGAATCTTTGTTTAAAAGATTGCCAAACTGCCCAGCCATCATGCCTCAGTGGTTAAGCTTTGACATATGAACAAGATAATGATTCCATTCCCAGTAAGGGGACATGGCCTGCCTGTGAGAATGGTCCTTAGTGGGAGGCATGCAGGAGGCAGCCAATGAATGATTCTCTCTCATCATTGTTGTTTTCCTCTCCCTCTTTCTCTCCATTACTCTCTGAAATCAAAGATATATTTTTTAATAAAAAATATCATAAAAAATTGCCAAATTCAGCACATTTTAATTTTATGGATACATTATGAATTTATATATTTTAGAAATGATTGAAAGTTTAATCCCACTCTACATTTTAAACAATTCAAATAATTATTTATTCTAGAGACTATGTGAATTCCTAGTTTTTCCAAATTCTCTTTCCAAGAATGCGTAACAGTAAAAAGTTGATTTTGACTTTCCGGACCTTCCCAAATGCATAATACACCTGACTTCTTTTATAACAAGAGTTTTATTATGATAACTGCTTCAGATTTGTTCTATTTATATTCACTTCACCTCTTCTCATCACACTCTTTCTCAAATTCAAAGGCTTTCATTAAGTGTGCATTATCAAAGCAACATCTTTTATATCTTACCAGTATTATTTCAGAGAATAAATCATGTACTCCGGGCTTTAGCATAAAGGCCTGGTTATCTTTAGATGATGTAGCTGAAAGAAAACAAATTATTAGTTTTGACAATCAGATGAGTGCACCTTGAAGTTACCAACAAGTATTGACCAAATGACATTCTGGATGATTCCAAGAGCGAGTGATGAATTTAAACAAAGCTCAAGATAGGTACAATGAAGAAAACTCACATCAAAGAGTTGCTTACATTTGCCAATGATACCTGCTCAAACGCCCTGGCACACAGTAGCAATATTATAAAAACACTCCCAGTTTATTCACTGGAGAGAGAGAGAGAGAGAGAAAGATGAAGAAAGTGTATGATCAATGATCTCTCTGTTTTGAGGGCTCTTGAAGAACATGTGTCTCTTGTGCATGACACAGAGTTTGAACAGAATTGCAGTAAAGGGTGAATACCCTGTGGTAGCTGCTACAAAGAAACAATGAGAAATAGTTCAAACACCACAAAGACTGTGATTCTGAAGATATATATCAAGCCTGAAAAGATACTGTGGGTCTGAAAAAGAAACAGAAAACATTTCCAAATGGGAAATTAAACAGACAACCGAACCAAGAATACAGATCCTGAAAATAGTATTAACCGAAAGTAGAATTTGTGCCACAGATGGTTATTATTTGTTTCCTCCTATAAAAAGCATGTTCAAAAGCCTGCTTGTTTACAATTCCAGAATCTCAACAAAAGATATCAAGTAATGCAAAGAAACAGAAAAAGTGTACCATCAGGAAAACAGAATAAATGTAATCAAACTGGCACTACATTAATGCAAGTATATTAATTATCTCAAAAAGAATGGTAAATAAATACGTTAATGCCAATAAGGGGGGAAAAATACAACTATATAATATCACCAAAACATTATATATCCAAAAGAAAAATACAATGAGAGAATATTTTATAAACACCACACCGAAAGGGGATATTTCAAAACATAATACCAGAATTAACAAATACAGTAGAATCATTAATGAAAGACATTTTCAACTTAAAACATCAAAGAATTTGCCTGGAAGCGGTGGCTCAGTGGTTGAGGGTCGATCTATGAACCAGGAGGTCACGGTTTGGTTCCACATCAGGGCACAGGCCTGGGTTGAAGGCTTGATCACCAATCATGCAGGAGGCAGCTGATCAATGATTCTCTCTGTTTACTGATGTTTCTATCTTTCTCTCCCACTCCCTATATCTCTGAAATCAATAAGGATATATTTTAAAAATAAAAATTAAGCCCTGACTGGTTTGGCTCAGTGGATAGAGTGTCGGACTGCGGACCGAAGGGTCCCAGGTTCGATTCCAGTCAAGGGCATGTACCTTGGTTGCGGGCACCATCCCCAGTAGGGAGTGTGCAGGAGGCAGCTGATCGATGTTTCTCCCTCATCGTGTTTCTAACTTTCTATCCCTCTCCCTTCCTCTCTGTAAAAAAAAAAATCAATAATAAAAAAACAATCCTGTAGGTTGCTTAGTGTAAAAAAAAAATCAATAAAAAATATTTTTAAAAAATAAAAAAATAACAAAAATTAAATAATCAAAGAATTTGTACATAAATTATTAAAATGTTAATTAATTAACATTTTGATGAATAAAAGCCAACAAACATGTGCAAATATGAAGAGAACTTCAGAAATCCCTGACACTAATAAATCGACCTCCAAGAGGACCCCATAAAGACAGGAATGTGGAAAGGAATAGCTAGGTATATAAAAAATTAATCATGCCCTGACTGGTTTGGCTCAGTGGATAGAGCGTTGGCCTGCGGACTGAAGGGTCCCACGTTCAATTCCGGTCAAGGGCATGTACCTTGGTTGCGGGCACATCCCCAGTGGGGGGTGTGCAGGCGGCGGCCGATTGATGTTTCTCTCTCATCGATGTTTCTAACTCTCTATCCCTCTCCCTTCCTCTCTGTAAAAAAATAAAATCAATAAAAAATATATATATTAAAAAATTAATCATGTAAGATCCTGACAATTGGAGAGACATATAAACGCAAGCAGCTAACTGAATTCTAAGTAGAATGAATATAAACATGAGAACAGATAAAAAACAATGCAAGTATCATAAGTACCAGAATACTATCTTAACAGAATATCCTATCCTATATAATAAAAGCCTAATATGCTAAGTGCCCAGTTGTCCAGTCAGCCGTTCAACCAATCAAAGCATAATATGCTAATGATATGCTAAGGCCACTCAACTGCTCGCTATGACATGCACTGACCACCAGAGGGCAGACAGTCAACTGGTTGACCAGTCGCTATGACATGCACTGACCAGCAGGGGGCAGATGCTCTGACAGGTAGGTTAACTTGCTGCTGGAGTCCAGCTGATTAGGACTGAGCGAGATGGGCTGGACACACCCTGGAGCCCTCCTGCAGTCCCTCTCTTGTCAGGTCATCCTCCGCATCCCTCCCTGACCCCGATCATGCACCAGTGGAGTCCCTTGGCCTGGCCTGTGCCCTCTCGCAATCCAGGTCCCTTCAGGGGATGTAGGAGAGCCAGTTTTGGCCCAACAGCAGAATGACCAGTCGCTATGATGCACACTGACCACCAGGGGGCAGACACTCAATGCAGGGGCTGCCCTCTGGTGGTCAGTGCACTCCCACAGGGGGAGCGCCACTCAACCAGAAGCTGGGCTTACGGCTGGCGAGCGCAGCGGCAGTGGCAGGAGCCTCTTCCGCCTCCACAAGAGCACTAGGATGTCCAACTGACAGCTTAGGCCAACTCTCCATGGGGAGCGGGCCTAAGCTGGCAGTCAGACATCCCCTGGGTGCTCCCAGACAGTGAGAGGGCGCTGGAGGGGCTGAGGGACTGCCCCCCCTGAGTGCACAAATTTTGTGCACCAGGCCTCTAGTTCTATATAATAAAAGGTTAATATGCAAATTGACTCAACGGTGGAACTACCAGTCGCTATGATGTGCACTGACCACCAGGGGGCAGATGCTCAACGCAGGAGCTGCCTCCTGATGGTCAGTGCACTCCCACAGGGGAAATGCCTCTCAGCCAGAAGCCCTAAGCCAGGCTCACAGCTGTTGAGTGCAGCGGGGGTGGCGGGAGCCTCTTCCACACCCATGGCAGTTAGACATCCCCTAAGGGCTCCCGGACTGCGAGAGGGTGAATGCCGTGTTGAGGGACTCCTCCCAAGTGCATGAATTTCGTGCACCACGCCTCTAGTAAAAATATAACTTCTCATGGAAAAGACAGGTCCTCTAAGATCATTAGGGGGTTTCTAAGCAGAATACTATTGGGGGTAAAAAAAAGGGCATGAAATAAAACACGGAACTGATAAATGAACAAAAACCATCCAACAAAAAATTCTGACAAAACAGATGATCAACAATGGAGAGGAAAAACTTTTCCAGCACCAAAACTTTCTCATTATTAGACCTTCTCATTGTTCGACCTGCCCTATAAATAATCCTTAAGAAATTACTTCTGGAGGTCATTTAAAAATTCAATACAACACTAAAATATGAACATAATGAAGATTCCTTGTTTGTGGAAAAATATAGAGAAATATAAAAATTTGTGGTGTTCTAAAAAAGAAACACATATCACTTTGATTTCTCTTATGGAACTTTAGAAAATAAAAGGAATAGTCTGAACAGCATGGCTCAGTGGTAAAGGGTCTACCTATGAACCAGGAGGTCACAATTCGATTCCTGGTCAGGGCCCATGCCTGTGTTGCGGGCTCGTTCCCCAGTATGGGGTGTGCAGGAGGCGGCCCATCAATGATTCTCTCTCATCATGGATGTTTCTAACTCTATCCCCATCTCCTCCTCTGAAATATAAATGTATTTATAAAAAATAAAAGGAATAAAATCCTAAATCTCTGCTATAAGACAATGTAAAAAATAACGTGATATCAACTCATGTGTGTACATGGGTAGAAATAGCAATTAGCAGAGTTTTTGTATGCAACTGACGCTACGGGTTTAAGGTAGATTGTTATAACCTTAAGATATTTTAAGTGGTTCCCATGGTCATAAAAAAAATAGAAAATAAAATGATCTTGCTAATAGGTGACAGAATTCTGTATTGCAAATCACAGACTCTTTATATCTAATAATATATACATATATCTAATTAATTTCTCAAAACATGGTATATAGAACCAACCAACGAGGTTAGCTGTGTTCCGGTACATGAGAGAAATTACTACAAAATAACAAACTAATTATGTATTTACATGAATAACAGCATAATTGAAAATGAAATATTAACAGTTTAGTTCCTAAGAAGGTACATGATTTGTATGCTGTCAAGCATAAAATACTGCTGACTACCCTCTGCAGTGTGTCTCAATGGTTAGAGCATGGAGCCACCCACCAAATGGTGGCAGGTTTGATCCCAACCCCATTTGGGACATATGAAGAAGACAAACAACAACATGTCCCTCTCGCATCGATATTTCTGTCTCTCTCTTTCAATCCCTCCCTCCCTTCTTTCTACTCTCTGTAAAACTCAATGGAAAAAACATAATAGGGTGAGGATTAACAAAATAAAACACACACACACACACACACACACACTGCTGGCTGAAATTGAAGAAGAAACCACTAAGTTGAAAAACACATTCCATGTGCTCGCTTCGGCAGCACATATACTAAAATTGGAACGATACAGAGAAGATTAGCATGGCCCCTGCACAAGGATGACACGCAAATTCGTGAAGCGTTCCATAAAAAAAAAAACCAAAACAAAACAAAAAAAAAAACACATTCCATGATTCTACTTTGAAATGCTAACATTATCAGATGTCATTAGTACCCAAAGTGACCTAAACCCGTGGTCGGGAAACTGCGGCTCTTTGGCCCCTTGAGTATGGCTCTTCCTAAGCCTTAGGAGTATCCTAATTAAGTTAATAACAATGTACCTCTCCCTCTGCCTTGCTCTCTGAAATCAATAAAAAAAATTAAAAATAATAAACAAAAACCTGTAATGCAGACATTAACGCAGAGGGAAATAAATACAGCAGGGTAGAATAAAGGCCTATATACAAATTCTCCTGGATAGGGTCTAAAGATCTTC